CCACACCTTGGCCTGCCACGGCACTGTGTAAGGCAGCAGGACTGCTGCTATCAGCGAGGGCAATACTCCTCCCGCCCCTGGGGGACACAAGCGCTCCAAGCAAGAAGTCTGTTGGGTATGTGTTAGCACAAACCCTGGCAATTCGCTCTCCTCCTCTGCCTGCTCGCAGCTTCTCCTGCGTGCCTGGTTATAGCTTCTGGTTATATCTGTTGTACCACAAATCTCTTTTCCCACCCCTTTTCAAAGACCACTCCCACCAAAACCTGCCCCGACATGAGGTCACTCTTCTTCTGGCCACACTGGATACAGAATCGGTCTCCTCTTGATTTAGGGAAGGGTTTTTTATTGCTGCTATTTCTTAGTGCAGCAGAACAACAGAGACCAGTAACTCATTACGCTGACCAAAGCTGGACAGGTTTACTTGCTCGGGATGATGCTTTTAGCTGCGAGAATACAATTTCCTCAACAAAGGCGCCGGTTTGCCTTTTGGCCTCTTTGACTCTTGCCTTTTATGCCTATTTCCATACCATAGCCTCAGGCTGTATCTTCAGGCATGCAGCAGACCAGGGCCACTAGCACTAATCTGATGTCTTAAACTCCCAAGGATTTTAGCAAGGAGCCTATCTCAGAGAAAGGAAAGACGCTCCTTACCCTCACTCCGAGTGTCAGCTGGTGAAGGCAGATCTCATAAATAAGTATTAAGCTCTCTTGCCATCACGCTGTCCCCTGGACTCCCCGACACTCATGAGAAGCATGCCAATAGTTTGCCTCATCCTTCATTAAAGCACCCCGGCTCACCCCACAGTCACTGTCACCCTCCTGTCACTGTCTGGACTTGTCACAGCGAGACCTAGTCATGAGACACATGACAGCATCTGCAGAAGTGACACCTCATGCCAAACTTTGTGTCTGTGTCATGCAAGAAAGGCTGAAACTCTTTACAAGCCTCTGAGACAGATCAGCATGCCAGGATCTGAAGCCCTCCCTGTCTGGAAGGCGTGCTGGGCATTTCTCCCAAACGGCACAGAAGACGGTAGGATGGAGAGCACCACAAGCTGGCGTGAAATCCCTCCCACAGTGGCCACCGCTGGAGCTCTCGCCTGGTGTCAGGCTCAGCTGTGGGGCAATGTGGATGCTTCCAGCTGAGCAGAAGAAGCACAGGGGGCCCTGAAGTGCCACTCACAAGCCTGTTCTTAGGAGCTGGAGCTCGGAGGTCAACCTCTTCCCCCTCCCCTTTGGCAATTAAGGAAGTTCTTCAATTTCAAATGCTTTCATGCCAGCCCATCCCTACGATACAGTCCTATATAGGACTGCATGTCCTATGTATACAGGGGCAGTTGGCCTTAGCCCTCCCTCATTCACTGCCCTGCTGCATGGCTCCCCTGCCGTCCCACTTCCCCAGAGGGCTCTTTAGGAAGAAAGACACCGAGGAACTGTAATGGTCTCTGAATTTAGGCAAGGCAACTTCGGTAGCAGATCTCAGTTGGTCTCTGCTGAGAGCACCTGCGTCTGGTTTGAGACCTCCCGTGTCAGAGCTTGGGTCGGAGCTGGCACGAGAAGCTTGATTTTCTGAGCCTGCCCTCGGGAGGACCAGCCTCACCAGCAGCTGGAAGCAGCGTGCTGGCAGTGCCCAGCTGGCCACCAGCTGAGACCCACCGAGGGTGATCATAGAATCATAGAATCGTTTAGGTTGGAAAAGACCTTTAAGATCATCGAGTCCGATCATTAACCTAACCCTGCCATCCGACCACTAAACCATGTCCCTAAGCACCTCGTCTACCCATCTTTTAAATACCTCCAGGGATGGGGACTTGACCACTGCCCTGGGCAGCCCATTCCAATGCTTGACAGCCCTTTTGGTGACAAAATTTTTCCTGATGTCCAACCTAAACCTGCCCTTGCGTAACTTGAGTCCATTTGATGGTGATGGTCCTCCTCATCTCCACCTCTGAGATCTGCAGGCCAGCCTCCTGCAGCCCTCCTTTTGCCAAGCTCCCTGCCAGCGCACACCACCTTTGTCTGATTTTCTCCTGTCTTGTAGTTACCTTGTCTCCTGCCCCGGGCCTGGGAAGGGCTGAGAGCCCTGGTGTGTGCCTGCCCCGCTTCCAAGCAGACGTGAACACATTTATGAATGCTCCCTCCGTGGAGCAGGAGGTGAGAAGTCTTTGCTTCAAAATATCGTAGATATATTGAGAACGCTAATTGAGATCATTGAGAACTCCTGCTCAGCACACCATTAGGTAATGATCTCCCTCTCAAGCACAGGATGAAAAAGATGAATCGCAGCTTTCTTCTTGCGCGTGCTATAAAGGGTTTGCACACTTGTAGAGGATGAAAATTAGGTTGGAAACCCAGTTATGGTCCTCTGAGGTGAAATGCCGACACTTTCTCTCCAGCACACGTTTTTTAATCACAGCGTGGTCAGAAGTCAGATCGTTTCCTGTGGCTTTCTAAAAAACCACTTCACTTCAGTCGTTATCGGGTCAGCAATATTTACAGTTCTTTCCCCGCGGGCTAGCAGGTTTCTTTACGTACTCTATTTAAACATGTTGGGAGGTTCTGCATGTTTTTTTGTAACTCCTGGATGTATTACTGGTTGAAGAAAGAAACTGTTGGCTCTGATGGAATTTTTTTAAGGTACTTATAAGAAAATGGTAACATTTTAAAAGTTTCTTGGTGAATAGGTCCACAAAGAGTAACAGTATGCAAGGTCCCAAAATGTCCTTTTCAAAACCAAAAATAGGCAGATCACTGCAATTCCCACAGAAATTAAGCGTGTGGCTTGCAATATTTATCAGCTGATTTAAGAAAAAACCAACAGTGAACACACTGCAATTTTATAAGACTAAATATTGCCAGTACCATGCAGGGACTGAAGAACAGAGATGACTACAATAAACTTCCCCCCCCATTCCTGTATCTGCACCCGGTTATAATTGTGCAAGAAATCAGCAGTATTTCAAGAGCAGCTCTGATGCTAAGTGCATTTTCAGAAGTATTTTATGTCACTGTGTAGATTACAAAATTGCTATTATGCAACCAGAGAGGCGTAAGCCTCTGAAACTGTGTTTTGTTGTCAGCGCCCAGCACACAGCCCCGCGCAGGGAGGCCCGAGGAGCGGGGCTGCTGGAGCCCGCGGAGGGCTGCCCGTGCGTTTACCTTCTGACCTTACAGTCAGCTCTTTTGAGAGTGGTTTTAAAAAAAACCTTATTATCTCAGAAAGCCTTGAGGAAAATACCCTTTTTCTTTTTTTTTTTTTTTTTTTTTTTTTTTTTCAGTGCCACAGCAATGTAGTTTGAAAAGAAAAGCATCATCCACAGCCATGGTACCTAAACAGCGTTCCATACATTTTATTACGTGACTTTCCCAGACAGCACCGTGATCGGGCAATGGAAAAGGTGGTGCTGGAGCAGCCTGCGCACCGCCCGCCCGGCGATGCTGGCGAGCACCCCGGGTCAGGAGCGGCGGGTAC